TCCAGGTGTCCCAGCCCTTAGGGAAGGCTCCCCACTCACCGAGGAAGAGCTGTGGATGAGATGGCTCCTTCAAGCGGCTGCAGGACCTTAGCCTGATGGCCCCAGGATTTATAGACCAGGCAGCTCCACCCCCAGACTCCAGTGACGTCTTGAGAGGGGAGGGGGAGAAGCTTACTACCCATCCCCCTTCCCAGAGCATCCACTCCATGAACATTCACCAGGCAGCTGCTGCCCTGAGGCCACCAACAGATGCTCCCTCGCCACCACCTTCCCAGGAGCCTCCAGGCCCGGGACTCCTGCTTCTGGCTGGCCCATGTCCTGGTCTCGCCTTCTTACTTGCCAGGCTGCATCTTCAAGCTCCTCATCTTGAGACCTAGAAAGCCCTCACAGCCCTCCCTGACGTCAAAAGAGCGTCCTGGGCAGGGGAAATGCCTGGGGGTTCCCCAACTCTCAGCTCAGGGCTTTCCCTGGTGGAGAGTGGAGGCCTAAGAGTAGGGAGCCTGGCAGGCTGTTCAGAGGTACAGGGGAGGCTGTGACCACTGTCCCAAAGGGCTTGTTTGCTCACTATAGAGTGGGTTGGGACAATCCACATCCACATACCTGGGAACCAGGGCTGGGTCACTCCAGATGGCTGGGTTTGGGTGGGGCAGTACCTACCCAGGAGTGGCTTCTCTCCTGGGGAAGAAGCGGACCCATGAGATGGGGCCCAGCTGTTGGGCCAGTGCAGCCTCCCAGGGCCATCAGCAGCCGGTAGAATAATTTTGTTCCTCAAGGCTCTAACCCCTCCCCAGTCATGGATTTAGACACAACTAGCCTGGCTGCTGGAAGTGGGCTCTTGCCTCCCAGTCTGCGTCAGCAGCTCAGCTTTCCCTGGCCAGCCATCAGCCTCTGGGGGTCAGAGGCCTATTTACAGGGTTAATAGCCAATCTCCGCGCTTGGGCTGAACAGCATATGGGAGGGCCAGGGTCAGGCTTGGCATTGTGGTGGACAGAGTCATTAGGAGAGCTGGTGCATCAAATCCTGTGACAAAGATGGGGAAGGGGAGGCATAATGGGCATCAGTCAGCCCTAGACACCTGGACTTCAGCAGCCAAGGCAGGATGGGCACACCTGTGAATTTCCAGACTGACTTATTAGCAGGGACCTGAAACGAATGTGTGGCCCGTATGTTCAGTTAAATTGTTTTGGCTTAAATACACAGACTTTGTTAACCGGGTGATTTTTAGGAAAACATTTGCTTTGTGGTTTAGTGAAAATGAATCTAAGTTCAATGTACTAGTTTAGTTCTGCTTGGGGTTTACAGAACGTTTTATTCAAAGCTGGTGTTCATTTAAAAGGGGGATGGGTGCCTTTATTTATTCTGTAATTTGTTTTTTTTTCCTGAAAAATCTAAACCGAGCTAAGCTTCCTGGGGAAAGCTCTGCTTTCCTTTTTTTTCTGGCAACATACTTAGCTTTTTAGAAATGTTTGATGTCCTTTCTAGACTAGAACTCTGGACTCTTGTATCCCTCTCATTAGAACATAGAAAGCCATCTGTTCACCATGGGGCTCCAGTCCTCAGGATATGAAGTCACTGCAGCCTGGAGCTGTGCGTACTCAGGTGGGAAAGCAGAGGTTCAGAGGTGAATAAACACTCAGGTGCTGCAGGAGCACAGAAGGACACACACTGAGCAGGCGACCTGGGTGAAGGACAGAGACAAGTGAGCTGGAGTCATGGACGCAGGGAGTGGCAGCGGAGGGGTGCAGCGTAAGGAACAAAATGGAAAAGGGCCAGCAGGAACTGCTGCGGATCCATGGGGCCAGAGAATGTGGGAGGGTTAGAGGAAAGGAGGGTGGGCCCCTGGGTGTGGGCAGTGGGAGGCAGGCATCTCTGGACAACCCTGACATGCGACCAGGATATGGGGGACTTGGGATTGGAGGAGAGCTGAGGGTCCACAGAGACAGACCCAGAATCCTGACCTCTGAGGGAAGAGACAGTGGAGGAGCAGCTAAAGGGTGAGGATAAGAGGCAGAGGACAGCCTGTGACACAAGGGAAGAGACCATGGATCCCTGGGGTTTAGCACCAAGGTGACCTTGGTGAACAGGGATGAAAAAGAAACGTGTGGGAATGAAATGAGGAAGAGGGAAGAGACAGAGTACAGGCTTTTTCACGTAGTCTCTCATAAACAGGGAAGAACTTAGGCCTGGGGTGGGAGACATGCTGTTTATGTAATTAATTAATTAATTATTATTTTTTTTGAGACGGAGTCTAGCTCTGTCACCCAGGTTGGAGTGCAGTGGTGCGATCTCGGCTCATTGCAGTTTCTGCCTCCCAGGTTCCAGCGATTCTCTTGCCTCAGCCTCCCTGGTAGCTGGCATGTACCACCACACCCGGCTAATTTTTGTATTTTTAGTAGAGATGGTTTCACCATGTTGACCAGGCTGATCTCGAACTCCAGACCTCAGGTGATCCGTCCACCTTGGCCTCCCAAAGTGCTAGGATTATAGGCATTAGCCACTGTGCACAGCCTATTTTTTTGAGACAGGGTCTCTTTGACCCAGGCCGAAGTGCAGTGGCATGATCACGGCTCACTGTAGCCTCTACCTCATGGGCTCAGGTGATCCTTCCACCTCAGCCTCCCAAGTAGCTGGGACTACAGGTATGTGCCACCATGCCTGGCTGATTTTTGTTATTTTTTTGTAGAGACAGGGTCTTGTCATGTTGCCCAGGTTGGTCTCGAATCCTGGGCTCAAGTGATCCACCTGCCTTGGCCTCCCAAAGTGTGGGATTACAGGTGTGAGCCACTGCACCTGGCCTGCTCTTTATTTTTAATGAAAGAGACTTGAGTATTTGGGACAGGGGAACAAGGAAGGAAACTGCAACCCAGGAGGGACCTGCCCAAATGAAGTGAGGTCTGAGTGTGGCAGGATGTAGGGCTTTGGGTGTGTGGTGGGTGCAGGCTGTTACTCTTCCCCTATGGAGAAACACTCCTACCCTAAGCCCCTTGGGTCACAACTGACTGGCTGTGGGAAGGGCACTGGATGAAGCGGTCACCCCTGCCCTTTCCACATGACTGTGCTGTGTGAGCCTCAGCACATTTTCCTTTTGGCCTACACTAGTTTCTGTTGGGTTCACCTCTCTTGTAAACATGCATGCCCCAAGTAGAAAGCAAAAAAGGAGTGAAGAGGGAGGCATGAAGGGATGAGGGACACATCTACAGCCTGAGCAAGACAGGGAGCAAACAGCTGAGGTCATTCCTACCTGGAGACGCCGGTTTTGCACCCAGGTGATGCCTATCCACTGGCCAAATCAGCATGGACTTCAGCAGAAAACCACTCAGGCCACGGTGCCACATCCTGCTGAAGGCCAGCCTTGACAATAGGAGGCAGCCTGCTGGGAGGCACAAAGGCGCCTGTGAACGGCCTCATCTGCACATTCACTGAGTGGCTTGCTGACCCAGTGCCTGCCCTCCTGCATCGACTTGGACTTGGCCACACAGAGCACTGAAGGGTGGCCTGCAAGGAGCCAGGGGCTGCTCCCCAAACTTGGCACCCCTCACCAGAAATTCCTCAGATTCTATCTTTGCCTAATTTATCCATACTTCTCTTGAGACTACTGAGTTTTAAGTTTAGTGCCTCTTGGGAGTTCCTTAGTTCCTACAGAACTAAATGTCTCTAATGACTCACACTCACCTCCTGTAAACTTCCAGAGGGGTCTGTTGCAGCCCTTGCCTCCTGGGTCCCTTCTGCACATCTCCTTCCTTCCCACAAACATCCTGGATATGTGGTGCACAGACAGGCTTCCCTCCTGGAGCCACTACATGTTAACTGCTTTATCTGGACTCTGAGGCCCTCTGTAATGTGGCTTCACTTCGCCTTTCCTCCTTTTCATTTATCTAAATTTCCAGCATCCCATGAGTCTGGTTCAAGTCCCACCTCCTCCAAGAAGCTCAGTAGTGCTGACCCCTAAGCATGCCTCCATGGACCAGGCTGGGGTGCCACCTCTCACTCCAGAAGCCTCTGCGGAGCCCAGGCCTGTGCTGGCTCTTCAAGAAAGGCCCTGCCTGACAGCCACAGCCACCAGTTCACTCTCCTGCTCCTGTAGTAAGCTGCTGAGGAGGCTGGGAGGCAGTGGACAGACCCATTCTCCCAACGCAACAAAAGATCAAGATCACACTTCCCCAGCACACCCTGTAGTTAGGCATAGCTATGACCAGGTGAAAACCTTGTGAAGCCAATGAGTGGAATATGGGGTGGGGTATGAGTGGAAATGAAAAGTGCAGATTTGGCTTCCTGTCCTTAGAAATGAAGCTGCTGGCTCTCCATGCTCTTTCCTCAGGGTAGAATATGGACATGGCAGTGACCCAGCTTCAACCATGAGGATGAGAACAATATCCTAAGGATACTGGGTCTCTGGACAGGGCAGACTGTTATAGGAGACATAAATGAACATCCAGCTTCTTTAAGAAACAAAAGTTCAACACTTTTGTCTAACATGTCACTCAAAACCAAGTTGGGATCTAAGACTCCCACCATCCTGACTTCTAGATCTGAGAAACATTCACATTCCCAGAAATGAGGACCCGTATGAAAGAAAATGGAAGCAATTCAATACAATACATGTGGATATAAAGACTTATCCTGGACAGGGTGACACAATCCAGACAGCTTTGTAGCAAAGCACCACAGACTGGAGAGGTCAGACTGGCCTCAGCCCAAAGCTGAGTCAGCTCCACTCTCCCCTGTGCCCCCGTCCTTAAGGAGACTCAGTGAGGACCTGGCCACCTTCCATAGGGAGGAAGGCTGGCCAGGACCACTAAACCAAAGATGTGCTGGCAATGAAAGGAGGGTCCTGAAGATCACCTAAGAACCGGAGAGGCTGTGTTTGGTGGATAGGAGGAGTTAGGGGACTGTGGCCTCTCTCAGATTGCTGAGAGAGAACAGCAACAGCAGGGCCATGAACAGCCGAGCCCCAGCCTGTATGGCTGACCCACCCCCACCCCCAGACAAAGGGAGAGACATTTCCTCAGGGAGTCAAAGCTTTTATTACCTGATAGTCCCTAGTGTGGTGCCAGAGATACCGCTCTGGTCCTATTACTCCCATGATATAGGTGGTGGGGATGGGGGAGGGGACCAGGGACAGAGGGGAGGGATATTTACAGTGCATGATGGTATGGGGACAACCACTTTCCTCTAGAGCTCTGAGTACTTTGTGCTTTTTTTCTTAGTTGGTGCCGAGCTACCTGGAATGGATTTTGTGTTTATCTTTAGGGAAAGATATATTAACCAAAGCACAATCCAGCCCAATTTCCTGGCTGAGGATTTCACGATATCAGTCCAAACATCACACTATTTAATTCCCCAATAAAACATTGGAAAAAGGACTATCAGTGCTAACACATTTACATATAAAATTTCCACCTAATAGGTAATAGAAGCCTATGTACCAATTTCTAAAACAGTTATAAGATATATACACAATTTGGGGTATATTAACAAAACAGAATATTACAAAATATTAAAGGCAATCCTCCTGGTCCACGGACGCTTGTTGCCGCTTACTTGAAGTTGGCATAATCTGAGAATGCATCAATATATTCCTGCACCACCTTGTAGCAGAACTCATACTGTTCCTGGAGAGTGAAAGATAGGGAAAAAGCCAGGGTTACTGAAGAACACACAGTACCTGTAATTCCTAATAGACTCTTTTTTTTTTTTTTGAAGATGGAAAATCGAGAGGAACTGAATGTTTTTGAACTTTCACCTGAGCTCTGATCTGCCTGCCAGAGTTCTGACAGCATTCCCCTTCTGGGCTGAATGCAGCAGACCTTCTACAAGAAGAGCTGACCAGAGCTGACCCAGGCTCTACAGAGGTCAGACATGCATGTGCTGGACTGGGAGACAGTGCAACAGAGCATGACCCACACTTACCATGGCTGCCAGGCTAGCATGCACCCTGGCTCTCAGAACCTTGTCTCCCAAACCTACTAACATTCACTTTTCTTTTTTTATTTTTATTTTTATTTTTATTTTTATTTTTTTTTGTTTGAGACGGGGTCTCGCTCTGTCACCCAGGCTGGAGTGCAGTGGCCGGATCTCGGCTCACTGCAAGCTCCGCCTCCCGGGTTCACGCCATTCTCCTGTCTCAGCCTCCCGAGTAGCTGGGACTACAGGCGCCCGCCACCTCGCCCGGCTAGTTTTTTGTATTTTTTAGTAGAGACGGGGTTTCACCGGGTTCGCCAGGATGGTCTCGATCTCCTGACCTTGTGATCCGCCCGTCTCGGCCTCCCAAAGTGCTGGGATTACAGGCTTGAGCCACCGCGCCCGGCCTCATTCACTTTTCTTTACTCCTCAAACATTTCTAGCTCCATGGGATTCAGGGAAACCTCTGTGGATGTGTGGCTTGTTAAAAGTCAGACCTCTCAACAGGGAGCCCAAGCCCAAAGGCAGGTACTCCTCCTGGATCTTCCTTACCCACAGAGAAGTGCAGATGAGCCCTGTGGGGCACCCAGACACCCCCTTCTAACCTGGCCCATCCTCTGGCAACAGGGGCTATGTTCCCATTGCTGCCATCCTGCCTCCCAACGTGCTTCCTGTGTATCTGGGGCACCTTGGGAGGGGAAGGGCAGGTCTGTGTTTAGACAGTCTTCTGACTCCTGGGTGGGCCCCTCTGAAGAGCCTCCTCCCTGAGCTGGCCCTGACAGAGAAGGGCTGCAGGTGGTGTGGTGGCAGGGACAGATATGTGGGCAGCATACCAGTGTCTGGACCATGTGTGGCCTCTGTAGCCGTAGGCTCTTGACAGTCTGGAAGACATCCAAAATCCCCTCTGCTTTCACACGCTCCAGGACGGTGCTCAGGGCACAGAAGGTCCCCGTCCTTCCTGCCCCAGCGCTGCAACAGAGCAGACACATTTACCACACCCGTCATGGCCCTCTGTGCAAGGGGGTGAGTGACAGTGGTAAGTGGTAGACAAAGAGGTGGGGGCAGGCAGCCGGTGCTCGCCTTTGCCCTGTGGGCCCCCACCCAGCCTGGACCAGTTCTGGGTCGGGAGGCAGTGTACCCTGTGCCCTTCCTGCATGGCCCCATGTATTGTGGAGGGACTCACCTATTGAACTGTGGGGGATGACCTTCACTCATACCCCACCAGCACGGAGCCATTGCTGTCCACCTGCACATGCTGGCCTGAGTTGTCCTGACCTGCCGTTTGCTCAGGTTAGAACTAGCTCTAGTCCTGTCTTTCCCTTTCCCTGACAAACCCCCTCCCTACACTGGTGTGTATTTGCTGATTCCTTTCCATGTCTCTCACTTTCTTCCTAAATCCCAGGAATTCAGACTCTGACCTTGACGCTATCCCCCTATTCAATGTCATCAGCTGATTCACCCACCAGACACTGAGTGCCTACTCTGAGGCAGGGACTGTGGAATTTAGCAATGTCCCTAGACAAGATGTGTGTTAAGAGAAGGGAAAAGAGGAGTGGGAGTTCTAGGCAGGGTACTCAGAGAAGGCTTGGACAAAGCTCTGTGGCTGCCTGGGACGGCATCTCAGGCCCATGGCAGGTGTGTGCCCAGGGTGCTGAAGGCCATGCAGTTAATGAAAGAAGAAAGGAGAGTGGTGGGCGTGGGGTCAGAGCCAGCCTGTGGTACACACCATCCTCTGCCGGCCCTGGCCAGGAAGCCCTTAGAACATGTTGGGCCTTGTAAGCTGTTGTTAGGATTCTAAGTAAAGGAGTGCATTTTTTCTAAAATGCAATCTCCAGCAACATGCCCCAAACAAAATTCAACTTTTCCCCTCAAACAAGCCTCTTTACTATCTTTCTTCTGCTGGTCACACCAACCCAGGCTCAAACTTGGGAGACACCCTTGACTCTTCTTCTCTTTCACCCTCTGTTCTTAGTCTTGTTCATTTTTCCTCAATGTACAGACAGGGCAAGCCATACCTACAGTCCACTGTTTTTAAGATAATTGCCCTGTTCTCTTTTCCTGTGCTTCTCAAGGAGGCCAGGCCCTTATCTCACATAGCACAACCGGGGTCTCCACTGCCAGTCTCCCTTGCTGCTCTCCTGCCCACTATCCGAACATTAGTCCTCTAGCACTTACTGCGCCAAGTTCTAGCTCCAAGGTCCTCTCTTAGCATCCAATCCTGTCTAGGCATCAATCTTGACTACCATGTGCTCACCAATATCTTGCTCTTGTGTGGCTTTCTTCAGTCTGACCCATGGTCACCAGCTTCCCCTGTTTGCCCCTCCTTGCTTTCTCTCTCCCCCTGAGGGCAAGGGTGAGCCATACCTGCAGTGCACGGTGATGGGGTGGTTCCCTGACTGCTGCTGCTGCTTCTGCACAGCGGCGATGATGCTGATCATGCCCTTTCCGTCACTGGGGATGCCCACTTCAGGCCAGCCATGGAAGTGGAACTGCCGGATCTGCCGGCTCTTATTCTCCTTTGGAAGAAAGGGGATCAGGCAGGCAGGGGTAACCCTGCTTTTCCTGGGGGCAGAGTCCACCCACCACCCATCTTACCCTGGTGTTGGTGACCAGGAGGTCTCGGACGGTGTAGCTCTCACATTCCTCCTCCTTCTTCAGTTCCACTGTAATATCTCCATAGGACACCAGTCCATCGGATGGCCAGTACTGGGCACACTTCTCCTGGAGGGACAAGTTGGAGAGGTGAGGGGCTCAGAGTACCACATGTATAGAAGCAGCACTGCCCACGAGCAGCCTGACCTCTCTCAGTACAGCCACCTCTTACGCTGACACACTTCGTCCTCAAGGTATTGAAAACTTGTAGGATCATTATATCACATCATTCCAATTAGCTTCCGATCCTCACCAGAGACTCAACAGACACTGACGGGGTCTGTAAAGAACTCTGACTACAGGCTCACAGGGTATCCAATACTTGGTGGCTGGAGGGAGAGAAGGAGTGAAAATCTTTGTTCCAATTCCTTTCTTTTTCTCCCATAGGGTGTCTTCATAGTGAACGCTGCTTACATCCGCCAGATTGCTAATTCAGAAAATCCGAACCAATTCACATTCCCAGACAGCCACGGGCTTCACCACCGCCCAGGCCACAGTATCCTTTCTCCCTTTTACCTTTATCTCTTTGATCTGCAAGGTACCTTCAAGTTGCTAGCACTCGCCTTTCTGTCCTTGCTAGTGAGCAGGAGGTGGTCTACTGTCTGTCTTTGCTTGCACCTGGCTCACTTCCCTCTACAGCTCCTTGTGGGAGTGGCTGCGTCTCTTTTCATTTCTGTATTCCCCACACCTTGCACAATGCCTGGCACATGGTAGGCTCTCAGTATCTGGTAAATGAATTTGTTCAATGTCTGCAGAACAAGCCAAGGCATAAATACATAAATATAACATCACACAGTTATGCTGCCCATTTCTTTAGAGAATTTTGGGGTAAGATCTGAGATTCTTCACTACTGGCAATTGAAAATTCTCAACCATACATATAATGTCACTGAAAGATTTGGAAAAAAATTAAGTAGAAAAAGAAGTTGTGAATAGTCTCACAGTCCAAATAAAATCATGATTATTAAAGTGGTGAATCAAGGACATGCCCTGGACTAGTGCTCTTCTACCCATGCTCACTAGGAGCCCTGGGGATGCCTCAGGGATCGGTGCTCTGGGCCTCTCTTCAACCAGAACAGCCCAAAAAAAGAAAAAAAAATTCTCATTAAGGCTCACTTCGTCAGGCATTATAATTAGTTTTTATGGCACTGGTGGGTGGAGTGGTTTTTGCTACCATATTGCCTTCTCAACACTGATTTACACAATGTCTCAGATGGGATGAAGACTTGGCCTTTAAAACCATCAGAACCATGAGGTCCCGATGGGTGTGAGAGTCACAGTGTGTGTGTGCTGGAGGAATTAAGCGTGATCTCTAAGACAGAAATACATATCAAGTCTAGGGACCAGATATCAACACTAAAAGTCTCTAATTTTTTTTTTCTTTTTTGAGAGAGTCTTGCTCTGTTGCCCAGGCTGGAGTGCAGCGGCATGATCTTGGCTTACTGCAACCTCCGCCTCCCAGTTTCAAGTGATTCTCCCACCCCAGATTCCCCAGTAGCTGGGACTACAGGTGTGCGCCACCATGCCTAGCTAATTTTTGTATTTTTAGTAGAGACAGGGTTTCGCCATGTTGGCCAGGCTGGTCTCAAACTCTTGACCTCAGGTGATCCACCTGCCTCAGCCTCCCAAAGTGGGAAGATTACAGGCATGAGCCACCATATCTGACCAAAAGTCTCTAAATTTTGTATACATGGGTGGATTTTCTCTCAAGATCTCTGGAAGACCAAAGAGGATTTTTTTTTTTGAGACAGAGTTTCGCTCTTGTTGCCCAAGCTGGAGTGCAATGGCACAATCTTGGCTCACTGCAACCTCTGCCTCCCAGGTTCAAGCGATTCTCCTGCCTCAGCCTCCCAAGTAGCTGGGATGACAGGCATGCGCCACCATGCCCGCTAATTTTGTATTTTTAGTAGAGATGGGGTTTCTCCATGTTGGTCAGGCTGGTCTTGAACTCCTGACCTCATGTGATCCACCTGCCTTGGCCTCCCAAAATGCTGGGATTACAGGCATGAGCTGCTGCACCTGGCCTCAAAGAGGATTTTTAAGACAAGGAGTGACAATGATTTATATTTTCAGAAGGACCAGCAGCTGCCATATGAAGAACTAAAGGTGGGTTAGAATGGGAGCAGGAGGACCAGTTGCCAGGCCACTGCAGACGAGGCTGCGCATACGAGTCATCCCCAGAGTCCCATGGGCAAGCAGTGAGAGACGAGGGCTTGTTTGAATGACAGCAGTTATGCTGGAGAAAAGTGGGGAGGCTCTGCCTGTATCAGGACTTAGTAGCAGACTGGATGTGAGGGGTGAGGAGAGGGGAGTAAGGTAACTCTCAGATTTTAGACATGAGCAACTGGGCAGAAGGTGGCTATTTATTTAGAAGGCTAGGAGTGGCGTGGACTAGTGTCAGGGGAAGGAGGAAATCAGGAGCCCACATTGGGAAGGGGGACAGGTGACTGGGCTGGAGACGTAGATTCAGGATCCCTGGCATATGGGTTGTACTTAAAGCCACAGGACTGGCTGAGATCCTGAAGGGCTAGTGTGTCAAAAGAAAACAGAGTGGGCTAGTGCCTGAATCTAGTATACTCCAATGTTTTAGAGGAGGAGGTCACAAAGAAATAACAAAGGAACTGCCAGGTGAGTGAGTGGGGTGATGCTGTGGAAGTAAGTGTTCTGAGGAGGAGAAGGGAGGCACTGACTCTATCAAATGCTGCTGTAAGGACAAAAAAAAAAAAAAATGGCAAGAGGTCAGTCACTGGTGATCTCGACTAAAGCAGTCCCAGGGGGGCCAAGCCTGAAAGGAACAGAGTGAAGAAAGAACTTGGGGGGAGAAAGCCAACTCTTTTTTTTTTTTTTTTTTGAGATGGAGTCTCACTCTGTCACCAGGCTGGAGTGCAGTGGCGCGATCTTGGCTCACTGCAACCTCCAACTTCCTGGTTAAAGCGATTCTCCTGCCTCAGCCTCCCGAGTAGCTGGGATCACAGGCATGCACCACCACGCCCAGCTAATTTTTGTATTTTTAGTAGAGATGGGGTTTTGCCATGTTGGCCAGCATGGTCTCGATCTTCTGACCTTGTGATCCGCCCATCTTGGCCTCCCAAAGTGCTGGGATTATAGGCTCGAGCCACTGCACCTCAGCCGAAAGCCAACTCTTTAAAGGAGTTTTGCTGGGAAGGGGTGCAGAAAAACAGGATAGTAGCTGGAAGGGAAAGTGGGATCAGCAAATTTTTTTGTTTTCAAAAGATAGGAAATGTAACATGTATAGGCTGATGAAAGTAGTGGTTAGAGAGGGGAACTGCTGATGGAGGTGGGAGAGAAGATGGTTATAGCAGCAACATCCCTGAGTAGGCAGGAGAGAATGGGGCCAAAGGCACAGTGGACAGCTGGACTGAGAGATGCAGAAACCCTTTTCCACTGTAACAAGAGAGAAGAGAATTGGTACAGATTTGAAGAGGCTGGTTGTTTGGGGGTGGGAGGATGACAGTGTTCTTGTCTGATTTCTTGGAGAAGAATGAGGCCAGGTCACAAGCTAAGGTGTGAGTATGATGGGACAGGCAAGAGCAGATGCTAGAGGTTTCAGGAAGAAAAGGAAGAGCAATAGCATTGCTAGGTGGCACCAATTACCCCTATGAGATTTGTGGTCATTAGTTCAATGTGAGAGCATTTGGCACTGTTTTGTGTTTTTGCCCAGTGATGTTTGCTATATCAGATAGAGGCATATATCTGGGTTTTACTAGAGAGCTTGCCATGAAAGTAAGAAAGCATGAGGGATGCTGGGCGCGGTGGCTCACGCCTGTAATCCCAGCACTTTGGGAGGCCGAGGCGGGCAGATCATGAGGTCAGGAGATCGACACGATACTAGCTAACATGGTGAAACCCCGTCTCTACTAAAAATACAAAAAAATTAGCTGGGCACGGTGGCGGGCGCGTGTAGTCCCAGCTACTTGGGCGGCTGAGGCAGGAGAATGGCGTGAACCTGGGAGGCGGAGCTTGCAATGAGCTGAGATCACGCCACTGTACTCCAGCCTGCGCAACAGAGCGAGACTGTCTCAAAAAAAAAAAAAAAAAAAAAAGCATGAGGGAATAAACAAAGGTAATAATGATAATGACATACCACAAAAACTCCAATCAGAAAACTCAAACGCTCAAAAACAAAACTCAAAACACAAAAACAGAGTAAGAAGGAAGGTGAGGACATGTTTGGGGTGGCTGATGTTGAGAAAGTGGAGGCATTAATGGCTCTAAGGACTTGACGAAGACAAAAATGACTGGAGTAAAAGAGAATACTGAGGTGGGAGGAAGGAGGCAGTAACTAGGGCGGATGCCTTGTTGAAATTCTAAAGGTGGTGCAGATACAGGGCAGATCGTGACTTGACCACAGGATGAGGTGGCTGAGGAAGCTGAGAAATAGAAAGACTAAGGATAGATGGATCATTCACATGGTGACTGATGCCTCCAAAACCAGAGTCAGGAACAGGGGCTCAAAAGGAGCAGTAAGCCTGCTGTTAAAATCGTCAGTGGGTAAGGGACAGAAGATAGGGAATGGGTGTTCAAGACCAGTAGAAGAAAAGATGGGGACTGGAGTTACATCTCAGATTTGTGTATTCAGGTTATGGCCTCTAGATAAGAGCATCTTAAAGAAGTGAAACAGAAGCTTTTCTGTCTTTTCTCCCACTTTGTCTTTCCACCAGACAGCATGAAGTCTCTTATGCAATCTAAGGCTGACACTGGTGATGGGGACACACAGCTTTGTGGAGACTAATGCTATCATGTTTCACTATGCTTTAGAGAAGCAGGATGAGGCCTAGGGTTGGGCTAACCTAGCATGGGAGTTCCTGGCACTGCTCTGACTGCCCAGGCTGATGGTCCAAGCTGCAGCTGCTGAGGGAACCCAAGGCTTACCAGGCATCCTGGTGAACCCTTTTACTTAAAACGGAGCAGAAGGCGGCCAGGGGCAATGGCTCATGCCTGTAATCCTAGCACTCTGGGAGGCTACGGCAGGCGGATCACTTGGGGTCAGGAGTTTGAGACCAGCATGGCCAACATGATGAAACCCCGTCTCTACTAAAAATATGAAAATCAGCTGGGCATGGTAGTGCATGCCTGTAATCCCAGCTACTCGGGAGGCTGAGGTGGGAGAATTGCTTGAATCCTGGAGGCGGAGGTTGCAGTGAGCTGAGACCGTGCCACTGTACTCCAGTCTGGCGAACAGAGTGAGATTCCATCTCAAAAAAAAAAAAAAAAAAAAGCAGAAGGAGATAATTTAAAATTCTTAATTCCTTTGGGATTTTAATTTATATAGGTATAGAATTTATATTTTGGGATCGGATTTTTTTTCTCTGGGAACTTAATATTGTAAGTGAGGATGGTAGTGTCACTGTATAAATGTAGGCACCTTTCATTGCATCATTTAGGCCTATTGCATTAATGATCTCTGGAACCTACACTTGACAACATGAATGGAACAGAAAGTAAACTTGGGGTCCAGTGAGGCCTTGTAAAGAACATCACTAATATCCTGTTCTGATCCACTCAGAAGCTTCTGAGGGCAAGCACTACTGTCTGCTTCACTGGCCCTAGGAAGATAGAGCATAAGGTACAGTGGAAGGTAAAGGGAGAGGCCTCACTCAGCGGGTAGGAGAATTTGTGTGTGCATGACTCTTCTCCCCACTGCCATACACATGAAATGCTTCCTGGTCCCCTACCCTTTACTCTTACTAGGTCCTTTTCAAGGATGGAAGAGCCTGCATCTGACGGGACAGAGGTGGAAATGTTCACTGGGCCACATTTTATCACAGGGCAGTGGGCTGAGATGGTCCTTGTGTTCGCGGTTCCAGCTGTTTGGCCTGCTCTTTGGTCCTGCCCATCACATATCTGGAGGGCAGGGGTGCAGGAGGAACCACATGTAGGGCCCCGGTCTGATCTGCAGGTTCCAACACGGTTGATCAGAGAGGGCTGGGAATAGGCACCTAGCTCCTGAGAACACGGTGGCTCATTTCCTAAATGGCCTTTGTTACTCAGGTATGTGCTTCCTTGAGTGCAAAGCCAAGCACCTTAACCAAACCTCCCACCTTGTCAGTATTGTTATTAACGATGATGAAGACGCTGGGCGCGGTGGCTCACGCCTGTAGTACCAGCACTTTGGGAGGCCGAGTCAGGCAGATCACCTGAGGTCAGGAGTTTGAGACCAGCCTGGCCAACATGGTGAAACCCCATGCCTACAAAAATACAAAAATTAGCTGGGCATGAATGGTGGGTATCTTTGATCCCAGCTACTAGGGAGGCTGTGGCAGGAGAACTGCTAGAACCTGGGAGGCAGAGGCTGTAATGAGCCCATATTGTGCCATTGTACTCCAGCCTGGGTGACACAGTGAGACTCTGTCTCAAAAAAAAAATGATGGAGACCTACAAAGTATGTCTGTTGATTAGGTACATCATACAAGTCTAAGAAGAATAGCTAATGAGTTAAATGGCTGATTACAATTGAAAAAAATGCCGGGCACTATGGCTCAAACCTGTAATCCTAGCACTTTGGGTTAATAGGTGGGTGGATCAATTGAGTCCAGGAGTTCAAGACCAGCCTGGGCAACATGGTGAAACCCCGTCTCTACAAAAAAATACAAAAACTAGCTGGGCGTGGTGGCACGTGCCTTTAGTCCTAGCTACTTGGTGGGCTACGTGGGAGGATCACTTGAACCTGGGAGGTTGAGGCTGCAGTGAGTCGAGATCATGCCACTGCACTCCAGCCTGGGTGACAAAATGAGACCTTGTCTCAAAAACAAACAAACAAACAAACAAAACAACCTGATGTAATGAAACATCAGGGTGAGCAAATATTGTAAAGCCTTGTACCAAAGTTAACATAAGTACAGATGGGGAACAAGTAGTGACTTGGGACAACTAATGTAAAACATACTTTGTATTTTAAATGTTGGACTATAAATTCAATGAGTCATGAGTGGGTGCCATCTTTAATTCCTCCTCACTTCACCCTCTCTGGGATAGCACCCTCTCACCACCTGAGTCCAGGCCACCAGCATTACTGCCACAGCTTCCGCATTTCTAAAGCGTCCTCCTCACTGCTGCCAGAGGGAGTTTTTAAAAAACACAAACTGGGCCGGGCGCGGTGGCTCAAGCCTGTAATTCCGGCACTTTGGGAGGCCGAGACGGGCGGATCACGAGGTCAGGAGATCGAGACCATCCTGGCTAACACGGTGAAACCCTGTCTCTACTAAAAATACAAAAAAAAAAATAGCCGGGCGACGTGGCGGGCGCCTGTAGTCCCAGCTACTTGGGAGGCTGAGGCAGGAGAATGGCGTAAACCCAGGAGGCGGAGCTTGCAGTGAGCTGAGATGGCCACTGCACTCCAGCCTGGGCGGCAGAGTGAGACTCCGTCTCAAAAAAACAAAACAAAACACAAACTGGATGTTGTCAAGGGCTCTTCAACTCCTTTGTGAAGATCAAACTCTTCACTGTGGCTTAAAGGAATTTTCTCACCAGGCCTTGCTAGCTTCTCTCCAGGCCCATTCTCTGGATTCTGATCCCTGCTAAGTGACACTCCAGACATAATGAATCACTCATTTGCTGCAATGTGCAACCTCAATAGAAATAATTTTTAAAAGAATAAGCATTGTCAAAACACAGACTGGGTTCCCCTGTAATGTGGGGGGTGAGGGAGATATCCCTGAGATTGAATGTGCTTAGTAGAGGCTGTATGATTCTGACTCAGGAACAATATTAGGAGGTTTCCTATACTGAGAGGAAATTGACCTAGGGGACTGCTAGGGTCCCTTTTTAGTATGAGTTTCCATACAACTCTGCTTTTTAATTGACTTGGAGGGCTTTTTTCTTTAAAAGATTTCCTTATTATAGAATATTAGACTGTAAGTTTCTTGTTTGTGCAATTTCTTCAATTCTACTGCTTTATTTTATGTAGTCAGCAATGAGGCAATCCCTTCTTAGGGACACTCATACTGGGTCTACCTCAGAATCTTGATCTAGCTGCCGTGCCTGGGGCATTGGGAAGGAGAGGGTGCCCTGCCTGGGGCACTGTGCAAAGGCTAGGCTAGGGGGACTGTATTCAGGAGAAAGTGAAAGGGTGTGAGCTGTCTGGGAATAACATAGAGGCTCAGATCACACTGCTTTTCTAGTCTTGGGAGAAGCTAACGACTGCTTAGACACCAACTGGCTGGGCAAGCCTGGAAATGCGTATGTATTTATATACCTTTTAAGTATGTGCTTACACTATGCAAATGTACTCTTTGGACTGTATAAGTCAAAGACAAGGTCCAAACACCTTCTTGCCTTCCCAACCTCCCTATTTACACACACACCTTTTCATGCTGTCTCTCAACGCCCAGGACCTTTTAAGCTCACCTGGCCTCTCTCCTCCAGTTCTGTTAGCATCACGATAGAGCAGGATTTCCACTCCCAGATCATTCGCCAGAAGTCCTCAATTGTGTGGAGAAGAGGGCCCTGGCTGGCGATATAGGAGTCCTTCTGCCGGTAGCCCTGCACGGGCCAGGTTAATTGCAAGGGTGAGATGGTTTAATCAGAGAGGGACTAGTGGAGAAGACAGGCCACTAGGAAGGGATGGGGACTGCTTGGAGGCAAACTCAGCCCATACAGAGCTCCCCTGTGGCCAAGGACTAAACCCTATCTGACAAGCTGGTTGCTTTCTATAAGAGACAGGGAAGTGGAAACAGGGATTAGAGCTAGGATGAAGAGGACAGGAATGGGAAAGATCAGAGGGCAGCCAGGTTCCTCTTGGCTGTGGTCTGCACTGTGAACTTTTTCTTCCAGGTATTATACTGCTGCATGCCATCTGTTTTTCCCCACCTTCTGCTCTACGGAGCTGGACAAACCTAACGTACAGGGTGAGTGGGTGGGTGGGTATCAATTCACTATTTGTTGACTGATTCAAACATGATCCTCCCCAGCAGGTATGGGAGGGAGGCACTGCAAGTCCTGGCTGGATCTCCATGGGGTGTTGGGGGCTTAGGGGTCACACCCACCACTTACATCAATAAAGGATGCATTCACATAGTCTGTATTCTCTTCGCCCCGCTTAACTGGAATGATCACTCTGTTGAATTCATCTGTAAGAAGGACAGCGGCTCTAGCCAATATCATTTGTCTTCTCCCTCTCCTTGCATTGCTCCCACCTCAGGCCCTGGGCAGACAGAATCCCAGCTGGGCAACGACATGTCTGTTCCTAGCTCATTAGGGAGAAAGCCTTTGGCTTTTATGTTCTTTTATTTCCAGAAGCCACTAAGGTGCAACAAGAGGCAACGCCATGTTGTTAACTGGATGCAACAAGAGGCAACGCCATGGTTTTTGTCTACAAGCCAATCATTAACTAGTATCTGAGAAGTGGAAGGGGTGGAGGGAATTGAGGGATGGGGCAATAAGGCTCTGGAGTGGAAGGAGGGCTCTTACATGGAATGATCTGTAAAACACGGTTCTTCTTCATGTTGGCTGGAAGGTTTCCAGTCCGCATCTTGTCATTCTGGATTTTGATTGATGTTAACTTCTGAATTGGGAAGGGGAGGGGAAACATTACTAATCCCAGTAACTGAACTCGACAAGATTTTTTTTTTTTTTTTGAGACGGAGTCTTGCTCTGTCACCCAGGCTGGAGTGCAGTGGCCGGATCTCAGCTCACTGCCAGCTCCTCCTCTCGGGTTCACGCCATTCTCCTGCCTCAGCCTCCCAAGTAGCTGGGACTACAGGCACCCGCCACTTCGCCCGGCTAGTTTTTTTTTGTATTTTTTAGTAGAGACGGGGTTTCATCGTATTAGCCAGGATGGTCTCGATCTCCTGACCTCATAATCCGCCCGTCTCGGCCTCCCAAAGTGCTGGGATTACAGGCTTGAGCCACCGCGCCCGGCCTACTCGACAAGATTATACCTGTTACTCGGCCTGCACCTTCAGGCCACTCTGGCTCCATACTGCTCTTCTCACCAGGGCCCTGACCTCTGTTCCCATATGTTCTTGTCAGAACCCTGAAGCCAAGAGCCTGTTTGGGAAATGCTACCTTCCAGGCTCCTGTGGACTCTCTTGAGAGTCTCCTGGCCTGGAATTTTGTGATCCTGGAGCAAGGGATCCCAGCATTGTAGGAGGGAGTGTGTCCACTCTGCAGTTCCACCCCCAGAGGCTGCCTTAGGCTCTTCAAACTTATTCAGAATCGCATCCTCCCTTCCCCTGATTCTGAGGCTCCTTCTTGACATTTGCTATTCAAAGTGTAGCCCATACACCAGCAGCGTTGGCTCCATCTTATTAGAAATGCAGAATCTCAAGCCGGGCATGGTGGCTCATGCCTGTAATCCCAGCACTTTGGGAGGCCAAGGTGGGCGATCAACTGAGGTTAGGAGTTTGAGACCCACATAACCAACATGGTGAAACCCTGTCTCTACTAAAAATTAGCCAGGGGTAGTGGCACGTGCCTGTAGACCCAGCTACTCATGAGGCTGAGACAGAAGAATCCCTTGAACCCGGAGGCAGAGGTTGCAGTGAGCTGAGATCGCGCTATTGCACACCCCAGCCCCAGCCCGGGTGACAAGAGTGAAACTCCATCTCAAAAAAAAAAAAAAAGAGAAAGAAATGCAGAATCTCAAGCTCTAACTCATACTTGCTGAATCAGAACCTACATCTTTTTTTTTTTTTTTTTTTTTTGAGACAGAGTCTTGCTCTGTCACCCAGGCTGGAATGCAGTGCCCCAATCAGCTTACTGCAATCTCTGCCTCCTGAGTTCAAGTGATTCTCCTGCCCCAGCCTTCCAAGTAGCTGGGATTACAGGCATGTGCCACCATGCCCAGCTAATTTTTGTACTTTTAGAAGTGATGGGGTTTCACCATGTTAGCCAGGCTGGTCTTGAACTCCTGACTTCAGGTGATCTGCCTGACTCGGCCTCCCAAAGTGCTGGGATTACAGGCATGAGCCACCACGCCTGGCAAAAGAACCCACATCTTGACAGGATCCCAAGGAAATCTGTGCATGTGCTATTATTTGAGAAGAACTTCTCTAAGGAAAGTGGTCCTCCCTACCCCAACCCAGAATCTCCTGCTTCTGAGAGAGCACTTTTTTTTTTTGAGATGGAGTCTAGCTCTGTTGCCTAGGCTGGAGTGCAGTGGCACAATTTTGGCTCACTGCAACCTCTGCCTTCCAGGTTCAAGCGATTATCTCGCCTTAGCCTCCCCAGTAGCTGGGACTATAGGCATGCGCCATCATGCCCAGCTACTTTTTGTATTTTTAGTAGAGATGGGGTTTCACCATATTGGCCACGGTGGTCTTGAACTCCTGACCTCGTGATCCATCTGTCTCAGCCTCCCAAAGTGCTGGGATTACAGGGGTGAGCCACTGTGCCCGGGCTGGGAGAGCACTTTTACTGATGACAGTGTGAGACATATGCCTTAGGTGTGTTGGGAACCATTGTCTAGTGGCATATAGGAGCTATCAGTGATCTAAGGTCCAGAGGCCAAATGTGGTCTGCTGCCTGCAAATAAAGTTTTACAAAACAGCTACACTCATTATGTTTACCTATTGGTTATGGTTGCCTTTGTGTTACAAAGACAGCACTAAGTAGCTGGACAGAAACCATGTGGCCTGCAAAGCCAAAACATTTATTATCTGGCTCTTACAGAAAAAACTGCTCTTGCTGTATATCATAATCACCTCGGAGGGTTGGGGGCCTTAAAATACTGTTGCCTGCTTCTCCCTACTCAAACACAAATGAAGTGATTCCAACGTGCAGGATGAGCTGAGAATTACTAGAGTATGAGGAAAGGACCACCTCCTTAACCACTGGCATGCCTCACAAGGGGATTCACTGTTGGCAAATGCACAGTCAGGCATCCCATGTTCCACAGATTACAAGGATCTTTCAATCTGAAGGAGGTTATCCAGCTCCAATTCACCTTAAACTCCTCCTCTAATCCATTGTTGCTGGTTCCTGGAATTTTGTTGTAAATTTTCTGCAGGTGGGTTTCTAGAGAGGTCACTTCCAGTTCTGTATCTCCATAGAGATAATGCTCCAGAAGGGCTTGGTATATGAAGACATACTGCATCTGAAACACGAATGACACACAAGTTCTTGCTTACATACAACATAGTTCTCATGCCAGATCACCCGCTCCCACCCCCACTTCACTCCAGTCCATTTCTCCTTTGATCCTAGCAGGAATAAAAGGACTTCCTCTTATTATCCCAATTTAGTGAAGTGGGACTTGAAATGCAGGAGTCCCTGTGGGGCTGCTTAACTTGGGAAGAAGGGTCCAGGTCTACCTTGGGGGTGGTGGACGCCTGGAGAGAAGGACAAACTCAATTCCTCCTCATTCTGAGAGTGCAGATTTAATAGTCTGAAGGGGCTGTCAGAAACTGGAGACACCCAAAGTCTCAGATAGTCTGGTCCCTGCCTCCCTCCTGGTGCTAGGCTCCAACTGCAGAGCCAGTCTCACTGCTACTCCCAGATATGGCTGAGCTTCATCATGTCTCTGGGCACTGGTTCTTTCAGCTGCCTGTTCCCTAATCCTTGAAGTCCAATAACCTGTCATCTGCCTTCCTGACTCTCCCAGGCATGAAACCACAACCTCCTCTGTGCTCAGTTTCTTTGAATACATAATTTATAAGAGCCCTTCATCACTTCAAGCGGGCCAGCCCCTCCACACCTGTGGGTGTTTCTTGTCAGGGGGGACAAGAGATTGAGAAAAGTAGTAAGACACAGAGACAAAGTGTAGAGAAAGAACAGTGGGCCAGGGGACCGGCGCTCAGCATATGGAGGACCCGCGCTGGGACTGGTCTCTGAGTTCCCTCAGTATTTACTGATCACTACCTCTACCATCTCGGTGAAGGGGATGTGGCAGGACTATAGGGTAATGGTGGGCAGAGGGTCAGCAGAAAAACATGAGCAAAGGACTCTGTGTCATAAGTAAGTTTAAGGAAAGGTGTTGTGCCTCAATGTGCACGTAGGCCAGATTTATGTCTGACTTTACACAAACATCTCAGTGCAGTAAAGAGCAGTATTGCCGCCAGCATGTCTCACCTCCAGCCATAAGGCGGTTTTCTCCTATCCCAGTAAATAGAACGTATGATCGGATTTTACACCAAGACATTCCATTCCCAGGGAGGAGCAGGAGACAGATGCCTTCCTCTTATCTCAACTGCAAAGAAGCCTTCCTCTTTCACTAACCCTCCTCAGCACAGACCCTTTACGGGTGTCGGGCTGGGGGACGTTCAGGTCTTTCCCTTCCCATGGGGCCATATCTCAGGCTGTCTCAGTGGGGAGGGACCTTGGACAATACCCAGGCTTTCTTGGGCAGAGGTCCCTGCGGCCTTCCACAGTGCATTGTGTCTCTGGGTACTCGAGACTGGAGAATGGCGATGACTTTTACCAAGCATACTGCCTGCAAACACATTTTTAACAAAGCACATCCTGCACCGCCCTAAATCCATTAAACTTTGAGTCAATATAGCATGTGTTTCTGTGAGCACAGGGTTGGGGCTAGGGTTACAGATTAACAGCATCTCAAGGCAGAAGAATTTTTCTTAGTACGGAATAAAATGGAGTGTCTTATGTCTTCCTTTTTCTACATAGACACAGTAACAGTCTGCTCTATCTTTCTTTCTCCCACAATCACACTGTATTATAATCATTTATAATAACCTGTGAGTCTGAGTGAATCCTCAATGTGAGCAGATGTTTTAGTCCTGGAACCCCCCCCCCCACCTGACCCACAGATCACTCACATCCGTTTGCACCATCTGGCAGCGCTGTGCCCGGATCCGGCTCACAAAGCCATACACGTCCACCTTCCGTTCTGTATGCATCATGTCCAGCATGGCATCAATGACGACAAAGGTACCTGTACGCCCTACACCTGCACTGTAGCCAGAAAGCAGGGGGTTATAGGGATGGTTGGCCTGCCTTGTGGGAGCAGACAGGGAGGGGCAACACAGGCGGGGGCTCTTCCTTCAGGGTCTAAATCCTAATTCTGAATGGGGTGGAGCTGGGACTCTCCAGGAGCCAACAACTCCAGTATGTCCTGAATCCTGACCTCCAGCTATTAGGACGAAGCATTCTGATACTTAGAAGGGTCCGAAGGCTGCAAATATACATGGCCAGCACTAGACCTAGCCTTTTGGCTTCATAGCAGGGTCTCCCAGCTTCTAATCTTGGAGGACTGCCCTACTCTCCTGCCTCAAGTCATATTCTCCACCCTGCACTAGAACTTGGAGTCTATGGCTGTTGCGCTGGTGCCCGAGTAGTTCATCTACTCCATGTCAGCCTCCTTAGCCAGGGCCCTTGTGCTATTCCCCTGCTCTGGCCATGGGGGCAAAATGTAGGGGTGGGGGGACAAGGGTCAGGCCACACTGACCTGCAGTGGACCACGATGGCCCCTGCATACTGAGGGTTACAGGCCTTCACCTTCTTGAGGAACTTGAGCATGCCGATCGGGGTAAAAGGCACCCCAAAGTCTGGCCAGCTGGTAAAGTGGAACTGAGTGATGAGGCGCTGTGGCTTTCTGTTGGTCATGTCGCCCACCTGTGAAGTGAGGAGATCCTGTGTGTTGGCCCTGATACCCAAGGGTGGGCAGTACCAGGGGAGGGAAGGTGACAGCTGTGGTTGTCAGTGACAATGGAAAAGTGAGTGTACCCAGGGGAGTTAGTTAACCACGGACACAAGATCCCACAACTAGTCAGTGGCAGGGTCATAACTAAAATGCAGTGCTCCCAGCTAAGCCCTCTTTTCGTAGTACCACACTGCCCCTTGGCTGAAGGTGACCTTTGCTCAGGTCTCCAGGGTTGCCTGGAGGGCTGGGGCAGGCCCATCACATCCTTGACATTAGGAGTCTTTGGAGTAGGAAAGGAGGAGAAAGGTGAGTCAAGCACCTAGGAGACTGCACTGCCTCCTCTTACTCCCTTTGCACAGTGCTTGGTCATATTTAAATGATCAGACTTCATCTCAACAGGTAATTTTTCATCAATCATGAAAATACTGCCCCTTTAGCTTTGACAGATAAGTTCCCTTGAGCCCAGATCTCGGGTTTCAGAATTCACATACTGCATACTCAGCAACTCCTGACCACCCTGAGTAAGGGGGGATGACCCAGCCTGTTCCCTCTCTCTTAGTGGTCAGCAGGTCCAACATAAGAACTGAGAAAGGACAGAGGAGACAGTACCTGCTGGATGCAGAACTTCCGTACTGTGTAGTCTACCAGGACAGTCACATCCTCTACAGACACCCGAATATTCCCATAGGTCCAGCAGCCTTGGTCTGGCCAGTACTGGGCGCACTTGCACTGGGAAGAAAAAGACATGCATTTCCTGACCTTAGAACTCCTGCCCATGGCAGATGTAAAGGGCCCGGAAGGAAGAGCCCACAAAGCCCAGATTAAAGTCCCCCAGAGGGCCCTTTGACCTCTTCTCTACCTCAGTCAGCTGCACATTTACTTATTCAAATATGCCCTTTTCTCAAGTTCCTTAGCTGCCATCTATTGAGCACAGTTTCCTAATTTACACACAGCCCTAGTCCCATACTTCTCAATGTTTCCCACCCACACTCCCTTGGTTCAGGGTGAATCTGAAGCCATTTTACCTACAAAATCTGCACTTCCACAACATTTCAGGTCATGCTCTAGGAGAAAGCCTGTTTGAACCCCTCGAACCAGCAGCCTGCTATGAGTGAGCCACCAGGGTGGGCTGATGCAGACTGCAAACCTGCCATGAGAGGCCTAGAGCTTTTACTGTTGCCTGGGCTTTGGATAGCTTCCAAGAGCCAGAGGTTTGGTTGGAAGAAACTAACCTAAAGCCCAGCCCTAGCAATGTCTTCCCACGCTACTGTGGAGCTGTTGATCATAACACCCGATACCCTAAGATCAAGGTGACTCAAGGGCCATCCTTGAGAAAGACTGTAATGAATAGGTATTTCTCTCTGGGGCTCGACCCCAGGACCCAGGATTGGCTCTGGTTGTGGCCCAGTGACGGAGCTGGTTAGGCCAGGCATGCACTTGGTAGCCACAAAAGGAAAAGGACCAGTTAGGAGGCTGCTTCCAGGATCAGGCCAAGGCCTCAAATTCCCTTTGGCTTGCAGGGTCTCAGTTCGTAAAGCTTCCTCTGCTGATCCAGGATAAACCAAGGGCCTCAGCAGGTGGGGCAGAAAACCAGGGAAATAAGGGACTAGAGAAGCCAGGAGAAAAAAGCCCCTCTGTGGGCTGGGCACGGCGGCTCACACCTATAATCTCAGCACTTTGGGAGGCTGAGATGGGTGGATCATGAGGTCAGAAGATCGAGACCATCCTGCCTAACACGATGAAACCTCATCTCTACTAAAAAAATACAAAAAACTAGTTGGGCGTGGTGGCAGACGCCTGTAGTCCCAGGTACTCGGGAGGCTGAGGCAGGAGAATGGCGTGAACTCGGGAGGCGGAGCTTGCAGTGAGCTGAGATGGCACCACTGCCCTTCAGCCTAGGCGACAGAGCGAGACTCCGTCTCAAAAAAAAAAAAAAAAGCCCCTCTGTGGCTTCTCCTTAGCTGATGGCCCAAGTCAGTCTCTTTCAGGCTGTTTTGGAATCAGGATGCCTTGTTTGACTACCAAATACAGGGAATGTGCTCTAGGCACACACCTGAGGTTCATCTGAGGCTTCCAGGCCACAGCAAAGTCTGGTAGACTTCAGCCTGTGTCTTTCTGGATGAACCACTGGTACAGCACCCACAAAGGGTAGACAGCCAGGCTTAAACTCAGAGCTTATATGCAGAGTGATCCCTCTGCTGTTCACACCCAATTTCTCCACTTACCTCCTTTCTCTCCTTCAGGTTGGTAACCATGACGATGGTGGCTGTGTTTTGTTCCCAGATCATCCTCCAGAAATCATTCACCGTTTCTTCTTTTGGTCCTAAAGTAGCCAAGAGCAAAAATAAAGAGAACATACACCAAGAAGAAAGATGCTGGGAGGCTGGGAACATCCATTCCCGACTTTTGGAAGCTTGTGCCCAAATGTGTCCAGCTAAATATCCAACTCATGTATCCATCCACCCCATTACTAACTGAGTATTTTCCATGTTTCTACCATGTATGTGCCAGACATTTCACTAGGATGCAGTTAGGGGGAAGGCTGTCAAAATATAAACAGAACACAAATGATGTCTCCCAAGGATATCACAGTTGGGAATTAGAAATAATGACTGCTGACGGAATACCTACATTATGGACCTCACAGTGAGCTAAGTGCTTCATATGGCATTTACTCCTTCCTATTATGCTCTGAGGTGGGTGTCATCAGCCCCAGAAAGGTTGGATGACTTGTTCAGGCTAGAATTCAAAATTTACCTCCCATATAACCTTTTTCAGGAAGTCACTAGAAAATTCTAAACAAAAATGAGAGGCAAACAGAGGAAAATAAATGAGATCCAACACAGCAGAGAAGCTAATGGAATTCCCAGGGTACTGGTCTTAGAATGATAACTCTACCAGAGGATAGAGAGCAACCAATCTACAGTGCAACTGAAGAAAGAAGATTCTAGAAGGATCCCAAGATAAAAAAATTAAACCTCATGTATCTAAAGATACTGAGAGAAGATATATACACCTGGTAAAGAGTTTGGGAGGAAAATCAGTGGTAGTTATATAAAAAACACAATGACTTCAAAAAAGGGGGAAAAAAACCTATACAAAAAATAACATAATACTGTTTTGGCTATGAATATTTGTAAACTCATAATAATAATAAGTATCACCTTAACCCCAAATTGTGATTTGACTCTTCTGGGAGAATGGGAGGATATGTGGGTACACGTCTATTTGACTGAGGGGGAGGTGCTCTGTAAGGGGATCAGATGATGTCATCTACCATAAGAAGCCAATAGGTAAAAATGGTTGCCCCAGGGGCATTAGACTAAAAAAGTGAAAAGAAAAGGGAGGAGAACTTTGTTTTTATAAATCTTGTAGTCCCTAATCACTCTTTCTCTTGAGACAAAGTCTCGCTCTGTCACCCAGGCTGCAGTGCAGTAGTGCAATCTCAGCTCACTGCAACCTCCTCCCGGGTTCAAGTGATTCTTGTGCCTCAGCCTCCCAAGTAGCTGGGATCACAGGTGCGCGTCACAACGCCTGGCCAATTTTTAGTAGAGATGGGGTTTCACTATGTTGCCCACGCTGATCTTGAACTCCTGGGCTCAAACGATCCTCCTATCTTGGCCTCCCAAAGTGTTAGGATTACAGGCATGAGCCACCTTGCCTGGCCTCAGTTACTTTTTAATGCTGCAAACATCCACATATTTTTCTAGGGTTCCAAGAGTGAAGACACTTGTTAGAACAGCAGGCCTGGAGATGTGTGTAGAACACATAAGGGACATGGTGCTGGGTCCCTGCTCTGAGGGTTCCTAGACCACCTATCTGAATAATGGTGAGGCTTAGGCCCATGAGCTGGGGGAGAACCAGCCTGGACCCTGTGAGGTGGCTGATCCTCTCTGGAAACTGATTCCTAATTCGAACTCTGAGCAGCCTGGCTGGAACCTAAGGTTAACTAGCACCAAGGACAGAGGGCCTCACTAGACTGTGTTTTGTGTATATGGTCTTTTCCAGTCTTTTTAATACACATATACAAAAAGACTTATTTTAATGGATTCCCGGATACTAAGTCATCAAGATGAAGGCTGTTAGTTGTAAACATGTATGACGGATTACAATTCTTTCAGGTGGTAAAAATTACAGAAAAGCTACAGCATTCTGGTTAATCCATTCAGCATTTGGGAGTAAAAACCCAAACCCATTATGGGATCATGGTTAAATCTAAGAGTAAAAAGTTGTCATTACTTTACCTTGTGCAGCAATGAATTTGTTCTTTTCTTGGTAGCCCTGGGGTGCGGGGAAGGAAAGAAAAAGAAAGAGAAAACCAAAAATGAATAGAAATGAAATTCTCCAGTCTGACTTGAACCAGCTAACAAAACCTGAAAAGGTTCAGGTACTTAACAAGGATAACCAAGTCTAGATATTCCCAAGGGATTAGCTTTGGAGCTAGGAATTAAGAGATTACAGAACTCAAATAGTCTAGGCAGTCTTCTCAAATCGAATTATAACATGTGGCAGCACTGCTTAACTAATACAGAGTAATGAGAATGAGGCAAAGCTATTGATCTTATGTTATGTTCAAGGCAAAGATGAAATGCGGCTCTCTGGCTCCTGAGATGTCTCTAGATTCTGAAAGCTGAATCTCAGTGGGCTCTAGGTGGTAGCTACATTCCTACCAGTAAAAAGAAACATGTCTAAAGATCCTATATATTCTAGGCTGGATGTGGTGGCTCATGCCTGTAATCTCAACACTTTGGGAGGCCGAGGTGGCAGATCACCTGAGGTTGGGAGTTTGAGAAACCCCATCTCTACTAAAAATACAAAATTAGCAGGGCGTGGTGGTGCATGCCTGTAATCTCAGCTACTCAGGAGGCTGAGGCAGGAGAATTGCTTGAACCCCGGATGCAGAGGTTGCAGTGAGATCACACCATTGAACTCCAGCCTGGGCAACAAGAGTGAAATTTCGTCTCAAAAAAAAAAAAAAATCCTATATATTTTTAGACATCTAAAAATGAGTAAGGAAACTGGTTTCTCCTAAGGCTCTAGGCTGGAAGCCCACCTGCCAACTGTGCCACTGTCTCTGTTTCATCTCCTCCTGTGACCAGTGTTAGGTCAGCTGACCTATGTGTTTCCCAAACTACAAACCCCACTTTCCTCTGCCTTTCACCACTACTCCATGGTGCCTAGTTCCCTTCAAGATCCATGTGTGTGGTCTTAGTTCTCTATGCAAAAAGTTAAGTGGTTGCCAGGGGGGTGAGAACGGAGATTAATTGTATTTAGACACTGAAGTTCTTTTTGGGGTGAGCAATGTGCTCTAAAACTAAGGGGACAACAGCTAGAGTACAAGGTTCTTCTTTTGAGGGGATGACAATGTTCTGAAATTGACTGGTGATGGGCTGCATTTATCTGTGAATATACTAAAAAAACACTGAATTGTAAACTCTGGGTGAGATATATGGTATGTGAATTACATCTCAATAAAGTTGTTAGAAAATGTTCTAAAACATTTATGGTGATGGCTGCATAACTTGGTAAACTTACCAAAAATCACTGAATTCTCACTTAAAATGGATGAATTTTATGTTTTATATATTATACCTCAATAAAGTTAGGGGGAAAAAAGGGTTTGATAAGTGTTAACTAGCAGCCCACAAAAAGGATGTAACAACGGCTTCTGAATTTGCTTCAGCAAAGGATGCTGCCCTACACACTAAGCCCAGAGAAAATTTGTTCCTCTTTCCCACTGGATCTCTATCTGTACATAACACTGTTGGCTGCCAAACCCTTTCTGAGCCATGCTTTACTCTTTGCCTTCTCAGATGCTCTCTTCTCTTGGTCTCCTTCCATCTCACCCATGGGCACCTGTTCAATGTGCCTGGCAGGGGCTGTGGGTCCAAGGTCTCTTTTCTTGCCCCACTCCTTTCTTTAATGACTTCCAAGTCCACAGCTCTAGAGTATTTCCTCTGAGCTCCATTTCAATATGACCAACTGTATGCTGGATACATCTACATGGATATATCACCCTCCAGTGTCTCATATATAAATCAACCACCAATTCTTGCTAAATTCTACCTCCACGTAGTTTTCACTTCATTGCCGCTTTCTCATCAATCCTCATCATTTGTGACCTGCTATTGCAATAGCCCCCAATTGGTCTCTCCTAAATCCATGTTGTACATGATAGCCACAGTGATCAATATGTAAATGTGGCCACACTACTCCTTGCCTTGAACACTTTTCAATGGTACTCCATGGCCTAGATAAATTCATCAAAACCCCTCAGCTGTACTGAAAACTGGCAGACACTACAAGGTGGCTCACTTAGCACCCACTCCTGCTCCCTTCTAGCCTGACTGTCTTACAGCTAAATTTCCCAGACTCCCTAGCAGCTCAGCAATCCACGAGATCTAGCTTCTTCCTAGCAGATGCTCCCACACAGACTTGGGGTAGAAATGAGCAACATGAGATAATGACTGTGCTAGAAATCTGGTCTTTGGGCAAGCACAGTAGTAGAAGCATCCGGTTCTTCTGCAGCACTGTGCAGAGGTTTCACTAAGACAGTCACATGTTGCATACATCTATAGCTGCTCTGCTCTTTGCTGAGCAGCATCTAAGCCTGGCTCACTGGACCTTCCACAGGTTTTGTAAGATACCTAGTATCTTATAATAAACCCCTTTCTGCTTAAAAGAGTGGATGAAAGGTACACTCTGTAGTCTGCAAGTAAGAACCCCAATGGATACACTTGACATCCACTACCTTTCAAGATCAAGTCTCATCTCCCACCACTTCCCATCTTATACCTTATGACCTAAGACTGCTATTTGTAGTCTCTGTGACTTTGCTCATGTTTCTCCTTTGCTTTGAAGTTTCTGCCCAACTTTCTTCTCCTGAACTCTGACTCCCTCTTCAATAATGAGCTCTACTGGGTTACCAGGTTGGGCTGAATGTTTTTTCTCTGAACTCCACAGAACCTGGCAATACCTCCTTTGCACACATAGCACATTACAGGAAATGACCTAACTACCTGTGTAGTATATGAGGGATTACATCTTACCTGTGTAACCTTTAAGCCTACCCACAGTGCTTGGCACACAGCAGGTGCTCAAAAAATGTTGACTGAGTTTAATAAACTGTGAAATCCAAATCTGTAATCCCTGCTCCCCACTTATGGGACCACAGGTTTTTCCCTGCTTTTGTTCCCTCACTGAGTTCATAAGGTCCCCCATTTAGCCCTCTTCATCTAAACTCTGTCTACTAATAACTAATAACTGTCTAATAACCATCAAGGCATTATGGGATGCCCTAGTGTAAGCTCTAACTAAACATGGTCAAGGGATAAGCCTATTTCTTTCTACTGTGCTATTACCATGAAGAGATCCCCATCTCAGCTGCTTAACAGCCTTAACATACAATTAATTTTTGTCAATTTTCACCTTCAATGTGGGAAGGGACCAAACTGGTTACAGTGGCAGATGCTGCTGGTTACTAACTCAAAGCCATTCCTCACTTTATTCTTTGCCATCAGAGCCACAATTTTGTTTGAACATTAACCTTTCATTGGCTTGAAAGGTGCCCATTCCCCAGGCTCAGAGGGGTAAATCATGATCATTCTCAAGGTCCTAGCCAGTGATTAGAGAGGGATGTGAACATGTGATTCAATCCTGGCCTGCTGGTCCTGAGGACAGGGTGGTGGGGAGGATTCTGTGAAAAGCCTTCCTCCCTAATAGACAGAAAATCATAGGCAGGTATGTTCCTCTTCTGTGCAGGATGCTGTGTTTACAAATAATGCTTGGGACTACTGCAGCCATCTTGTGACCATGAGACTGTTGACAGGGCTAAGCATAACTGAGTAGAAAGATGGAAGCACCTGGGTTTGTAAGGATGTCACTGACCCATGGAATCAGCCAACTCAAGAACTTGTCTGCATTTGCTTTCATATTATGAGACAAATATATGTTCCCAGCTGGGCACAGTGGCTCACATCTGTAATCCCAGCACTTTGGGAGGCAGAGGCAGGTGGATCACTTGAGGCCCGGAGTTCAAGACCAGCCTGGCCAACGTAGCAAAACACCGTCTCTACTAAAAACACAAAAAATTAGCTGGGCATGGTGGCACATGTCTGTAATCCCGGCTACTCGGGAGGCTAAGGCATGAGAATCGCTTGAGCCCAGGAGGCAGAGGTCGTAGTAAGCCAAGATCGCACCGCTGCAATCCAGACTTGGTGTCAGGGTGAGACTGTCTCCAAAAAAAAAAAAAAAAACAATGTTCCCATCTAGATAACTTTTAGTTGAGTATTCTCTTACCTGCAGCTGGACACACTAACTGATCTTGCGTTACTCTTCTGCGTAACATTAAAGTCAACCTATTCCACCTAATCTCTTCATCATGATCTTTGAAGTAAGTTCTAGGAATTCCTGCTGATTAATAGCCTTTCTCCATTTTCCTTATCGACTGCAGCAATTATTTGTCTAGTCAGGGTCCCTTTCCTTAAAACCACAAACATGTAAATATTAACGTTAAACATACATACAGGAACTTCAGCAAATTCACTCCAGTGAGAATGCCTGGACTGCCCCATTTCTGAAGTCCATCTAATAGCCTATTTTTTGGATACAACCTCTTTTTCTTTCATCTTTCTCCTTTTCTTATGCTGTTCGTTTTCTCAAGATCTCCAGTTCCTCAATCCTACCAGTTTTTCCTAGAATATTAGTTTATTCCTAACAACTTCCTGATGCTTTTCTTTTCTACTGAAACTGAAGCCCTTGGTTGACTACTTGAACCAGCAACTGACCTTCCCTTTTGTCTGAGTACCACATGTTCTCTGCATTTACCACCAATCCCAGGGTGCAGATGAAGAAAAAAAAAAGAAAAAACAAATCATAGAACTCAGCACCCCCCAACCCCCATCAATGACATCCCACTGTAGGTAGGCAGGCCCTCAGTGCAGCTAGACATGCCCTTCGCTTTCTCTCTTCAGTATCCTTTTCTCATGGACCTTAGAAGCTGTTCCAAACTTTCGCTGCTCTCATGTCACAGTCCCATCCCATTTGTTCAGTAGACAACCATGAAAACATAGGTGAGTTGCCTCAGCTTGCTTTATCCACACCTACGAGTCATCTCTATCCATTCTGTCCTCTCCTTTAACACTCTCAGAGGAAGAAACAGCCCTTCTTATGTTCACACTAATCTCTCCATCAGTGTTCTTTTTTTTTCTTATGGTAAAATACAACATAAAATTTACGATTTTAGCCATTTTGACTCTTTTTTTTAATTGAGAAAGAGTCTCACCCTGTCGCCCAGGCTGGAGTGCAGTGGCGCCATCTGGGCTCACTGCAACCTCCGCCTTCCAGGTTCAAGCAATTCTCTGCCCTGGCCTCCCTAGTAGCTGGGATTACAGGCGCCTGCCACCATGCCTGACTAATTTTTGTATATATGTATTTTTTTTAGTAGAGACGGGGTTTCACCATCTTGGCCAGGTTGACCTCAAACTTCTGACCTCAAGTGATCCACCTGCCTTGGCCTCCCAAAGTGCTGGGATTACAGGTGTGAGCCACCGTGCCCGGCCGATTTTAGCCATTTTAAGTGTACAGTTCTGTAGCATTAAGTATATTCACACTGTCGTGCAACCATCACCACCATCCATCTACAGAACTTTTTCATCTTCCCCAGCTGAAACTCTGTACCCACTCCTCATTCCTCCCTCCCCCAGCAACCACTATTCTACTTTCTGTCCCTATGAATTTGACTACTCTACATATGTATATATAGTCTATATTCTATATGTACAATCATACAATATTTGTCCTTTTGTGACTGGCTTATTTCACTTAGCATGATGTCTTCCAGGTTCATCCATGTTGTAGTATGTATTAGAATTTCCCTCCTTTTAAAGGTTGAATAACATTCCACTGTATGCATGTACCACATTTAATTTATTCACTCATCTGTCAATGGACACTTGGAGTGCTTCCACCTTCTTTTATGACTAATGCTGCTATAAACATGCAAGCGGAAATTTTATCCAGTCTTCTCACGCATCTTGCATCAAGAGCCAGACTTGCTTTTGCCAGCTTTCCCTCTCTCTTTTTTCTGTTCAAATTCACTCTCTCTATAGGATCCTTCCCCAAAACCTATAAAACATACTCTTATCTCTTTATGTGTTTTTTCAGGCTACTGGCAAAGACAAAACCAACCAAATAAAACCCTCAAATATCTCACACAGAATGTTCTATAAACATTTTCTAAATCATCTTTAAAAATCTCCTCTTAGTAGCAACTCTTCCCTCAGGCCTTGGTTCATATATGACTAACCAGATAGTCATATATATATATACACACATATATAATATATAACATAGCTGGTGTCATGTCAGGTATTCTTGTCCTGTTCTCCCTTATTTTTACTGTTGAGGGCAAGGCCTGCTTTTATTTGTAATTAGAATCAGCTCAATAAAGGATTCACTGACTCTTACCATAAAATACATATTTAGATACAGATTTCTACATGGGAAACCTTAGGGAACGACAAGAGGGTAAATTTAAGAAAATGATTAAAACTATTTGACTGACCATAAAAAAAATTCAGTCACTTAAAAAAACCAGGTTTGTCACGGAAAACATGAAACGACAAATATTTCTTCTAACACACAGCTGTGGAGGAGCCAAGAGATGGTGGCAATGGTCAGGCAGGGAAGTGAGGGGGAAAGCACCCGCTCCTTACGTTGATGAATGAAGCATTGATGTAATCAGAATCTGGAACCCCTTCGACTGGTGTCAGGTGGACTCTAGAGTGGTCATCTAGGAAACAAACCACAATATTTCAGTAAAATCAAAATTTATTTCTCACAGAACCTGATGCAACCAGGACAGTTGAGACATCTGTGCTTATGTGCACTGACTCATACTTGTATAAAGATGCCACTCCAACAATATAACACTGCAAAAAATTGGGAATACCTTAACTATCATTAGGGGACTAGTTAAATAAATTAAGATACATCTACAATGTGGAATACTAAGTAGCTGAGAAAAAGGAAAGTTTCTTGACAGATGAACTGACAATATATACTGTTAAAAGAGAGAAATGTGTACAGTATACTAATCATATTAAAAAATATGTATTATATACACACATACCCACACCCACACACATACACACATCCCCCTCCTAAAACATATACACATAAATAAGAAGACAAGGCCGAGCACAGTGGGTCACGCCCATAACTCCAGCACTTCGAGAGGCAGAGGCAGGTGGATCACTTGAGGTCAGGAGTTCCAGACCAGCCTGGCCAACATGGTGAAACTCTGTCTCTACTAAAAATACAAAATTAGCTGGGTGTGGTGTCTGGCATGTGCCTGTAGGTAGTCCCAGCTACTTGGGAGGCTGAGGCAGGAAAATGGCTTGAACCCAAGAGGTGGAGCCTGCAGTGAGCTGAGATCATGCCACTGCACTCCAGCCTGGGTGACAGAGTGAGAAAGAAAAAAGAAAAAGACAAAAGTATCTGTAAATGCATAGTGTAGTCGTCCTAATTTTTTGGTTCCATACTTCACTTATAAAAATGTAAACAGGCATCTCTAATATATGCTCATTTATTGACAAATTATGCACATATGCTAATGTATTATGTACCCTGAAATATAAAATTTTTAGGGTCTGGGTGTCGTGGCTCATGCATGTAATCCCCATCCTTCGAGAGGTCAAAAGTGGGAGGACTGCTTGACACCAAGAGTTTGAGACCAGGCTGGGCAACACAGCAAGACCCTGTGTCTAAAAAAAAAAATTAGCCAGGCATGGTGGCATGAACCTGTAGTTCTAGTTACTCAGCAGGCTGTGGCTGGAGGATTACTTGAGCCCAGGAATTCGAGGATACGTATCTACGACACATCATTGCACCCCAGCTTGGGTGGCCCCGTCTCTAAAAAAATAAATGAAATAAAAAATTTAAAAGGATGAATTTTTATTTTTATTTTATTATTTTTTTTTTTTTTGAGACGGAGTCTCGCTGTCGCCCAGGCTGGAGTGCAGTGGCCGGATCTCAGTTCACTCCAAGCTCCGCCTCCTGGATTCACGCCATTCTCCTGCCTCAGCCTCCTGAGTAGCTGGGACTACAGGCACCCGCCACCTCGCCTGGCTAGTTTTTTGTATTTTTTAGTAGAGAGGGGTTTCACCGGGTTAGCCAGGATGGTCTCGATCTCCTGATCTTGTGATCCGCCCGTCTCGGCCTCTCAAAGTGCTGGGATTACAGGCGTGAGCCACCACACCCGGCCGGATGAATTTTTAAAAAGCAAATATACTGGCTGGGCTCACTGGCTCATGCTTGTAATCCCAATGCTTTGGGAGACTGAAGCAGGAGGACTGTTTGAGGCCAGGAGTTTCAGACCAGCCAAGGCAACACAGCAAGACCATCTCTATAAAAAGTAAAAAAATAAAACATTCACAGGTTCTGAGGATTAGGAAACTTTTTTTTTTGAAAAGCAAATATAAAAATCAAGTGAGGTTCAAACATCTTCCTCTCATATTTCATTAAATTATGCATATCTCATTCTGGATACCAAAGGCCTAGAAAAATGTCTGTTGACTTATGGATCAACTGATTAGCAATGGCTAACTCTGGGAAAGGTTTATACAGAGAACTCTGCATTAGAATTTCTTTCAAAGAATACCACAAAAAACCATCTCTACCACCACCATCACCCGCTGCTTCCTGCCTGATCCTAGTGAAGCTGGCTCTCCAGAACCTCCTAGAAACTTGAGGCCTGACACAAAAATCCTCCTGGATCATCCTAACCGACTCTGAGTATGTGGGATCCATAAAGGCTCTTTCAGACCAAAGTCTTCCACCTACTCTATTTATTTATTTTAATTAATTTATTTATTACTTATTTTATTTATTTTACTTTATTTTTTTGAGACAGGGTCTTGCCCTGTCACCCAGGCTAGAATGCAGTGACACGATCTTGAGTCACTGCAACTTCCGCCTCCCGGGGCTCAAGCGATCCTCCTACCTTAGCCTCCTGAGTAGCTGGAATGACAGACACACGACACCATGCCTGGCAAATTTTTTAAGGTTTTTGTAGAGATGAGGTCTCACTATATTGTCCAGGCTAGTTTCAAACTCCTGGGCTCAAGTGATTCTCCCACCTTGGCCTTCCAAAGTTCTGGGATTACAGGTATGAGCAACTGAGTCCTGCCATGAACCCACTCTTGTTATCCACCCTGCTGTGCCCAACTGGAAGATTCTTTCCATCTTCAGAAAATCCCTCTAGAGATGTAATTTCAGGTTACATCCCAAGGAACACTAAAGGCACTCACAAGGCAAGATGTTTACATATCGATTTTTTTCCTTGTTTTCCTCCTTGGAAGCAGCCTCACAGGTGGCCTGGATAGGACATGCAGGGAGAGCCTGAAAGGTTAAGAGAAATTGGAGGAATTATTAGCAGGGATAAACATCAAACATGCAAACTGCTGCACCAAACCCTGACCCAGAAGCACGTTCTACCTTTTTCCTGGGGGGAAAAACATGGGCCCAGGTTATGCAGCCTAACATAGAGAATGCACCTCTCCCCCTAAACAGCCATAAGCTCCTTAGAGTTCAACAACACAAGAATCCTTGGGGGGCAGAATGCCCTTTCTGTAAGTATAGCATGCTCTTTACATGATTACTACGTGGTTAGGAGCCTGTCGTTATGATGTTAGGCCAAAATGGCCTACCCTTGTAAATGGGAATGGGGACATAACTGAAGGAATGGGTCATTTATCCTCATGTTAATTACCACCACACAAAGATGACATGCATCTCAGAGTGAATCATACAGGAGGGTTCTGGATGGCCAGCTGATTTAGTATCTTTCTAGGGATCTAAGGGGGCATGGTACCCCAGCCTCTAGCATCATGTGGCAAGGAAGCAAGGACTGGTGGGTGAGTGGGAGGGCATTCATATGGATGCAGCAGTTAAGAAGCAGAGTATTTGGGTGAGGTGACATTAAATTTGCAGCAGTTTTGGAGCAAATGTAAATTAGTTAGTGCAGGGAGGTTATCACAATGATTTGACATGAGATAGTCTGGGTTTCTATGAACTTGAGCACATCTGTTTTCTAGGTCCAGTTTCCTCATCTGTAAAATTGGGGCCGGGTGAAGTGGCTAATGCCTGTAATCCCAGCACTTTGGGAGGCTGAGGAGGGTGGATCACCTGAGGTCAGGAGTTCAAGACCAGCCTGGCTAACAAGGAGAAACCCTGTCTCTACTAAAAAGACAACAATTAGCCGGGCATGGTGGTGCACACCTGTAACCCCAGCTACTCAGGAGGCTGAGGCAGGAAATCGCTTGAATCCGGGAGGTGGAGGTTGCAGTGAGCCGAGATCACACCATTGCACTCCAGTCTAGGCGACAGAGCGAGACTCCGTCTCAAAAATAAATAATAAATAAATACATAAAATTGGAACAACAATATCTACCACACAAGGAGATAATCTCACGTGTGGCAAAGAATAAGTATTCAAATAAATGAGTTTTATGAGAGTGGGAAGCTAAATTTTATTATTTGATCTGTTCTCCTCTTGTATGTTTCATATATAAAATTAAGGATGAAAAAAGGAGCTGGGCGTGGTAGCTCACACCTGTAATCCCAGCACTTTGGGAGGTAGAGGTGGGAAGACTACTTGAGGCCAGAAGTTTGAGACCAGCCTGGGCAACACAGCAAGATCTTGTCTCTACATTAAAAAAAAAAAATTAGCCAGGTATGGTGGTGCATGCCTGTAGTCCCAACTACTCAGGAGGCTGTAGTCCTAACTACTGGGAGGAACACTTCAGCCCAGGAGTTCAAGGCCATGATTACACCACTGCAGTCCAGCCTGAGTGACACATACAGTGAGACTCTGACACTATAAAAACAAGTAAGAAAGCAAAAAGGGAGGCAGTTTAAAATTCCAACCCTAATTCCGAGCAAGTGACTTGGAAATACATTTTATGAGCCTTAAGAAAACTTTTTGAAAATACTTTTTGACCCAGCAATTTCATTTCTGAGAACATACCCTAAGGAAATAAAAATCTTTATGTCCTAATTATTTACTTCATCATTATTTAGAATGACCCAAAACTGAGAACGACCATAGTATTCAGCAGTAGAGGAACAATTCATGCATTACTTTTCATTCATTCTTTCAACAAATATATATTTTCTATCTACCAGGCACTGGGCTACGTACAGAGCAAAGAGTGGGGAATCAAATATAAGTGCAGTTCTTGCCCTCAAGGACAATATAAACTTGTGGGTGAAAAGCAGACATTAAACAAATAAAACAAATACATATATAATTATACACTACCATGAATGCAATCAAAAATAGACTGCTACTAGAGATGAAGTATCAAGCGCCAAATTTGGATTACAGGTGGGTCTCTCTGAGGAAGGATGAGTGTAGAAAATAGTATTCCAAGCACAGAGAACAGCATCTGTGGTAACCCAGAGGTGGGAGAAGGCTTGGTTGTATGAGGAACTGAAAATCAGTGCAGGTGTCACGCACAAGGTGAGGCTGGTGGGGATGGCAGGAGGAAGTAGGAAGAGATGAGCCTGGCAGTCAGATCATCCATTTCCAGGTAGGTCCTTAATAGGGAGTTCAAATTTTATGCTAAGTGCATGAGGAAATCATTGAAGGTTTTTAAAGTGTGATCCATTTTCCATGTTAAAGAATTACTTGTTATTACATGCAAAAATGGACTACAGAGAAGAACTGAAGCATGGAAAAATGATGATACATGGAAATGGATGCATTTGAGACATATTCTGGAATTAGAATTACTACATTTGGGCCAGGTGCGGTGGCTCACGCCTGTAATCCCAGCACTTTGGGAGGCCGAGGTGGGTGGATCACCTGAGGTCCGGTATTCGAGACCAGCCAACCAACATGGCGAAACCCCATCTCTACTAAAAATACAAAAAATTAGCTGGGTGTGGTGGCACATGCCTGTAACCCCAGCTACTTGGGAGGCTGAGGTAGCAGAATCGCTTGAACCTGGGAGGTGGAGGTTGCAGTGAGCCAAGACTGCGCCATTGCACTCCAGCCTGGGCAGAAAGAGCAAAACTCCATTGCAAAAAAAAAAAAAAAAATTTACTACATTCGGAGATGGAATGAAGGCAAAGTGGACTGGGAAGAGCAAGAGGTAGAAATGAATAATGAAGGTTTCTATCTTTGATGATGATGATAATAAAAATAATAATAAAAAGATTGAATAAAGGAAATGCCAGCCCAAAGGGAACCAATTTTTGTCAGGTAGAAGCAAGAGTTTTTTTGTTTTTTTTTTGGAGACAGGGTCTCACTCTGTCGCCCAGGCTGGAGTGCAGTGGCACCATCATAGCTCATTGCAGCCTTGAACTCTCGGGTTGGTGGTATCCTACTACCTCAGCCTCCTGAGTAACTGGGACTACAGGCATAGCACCACCATGCCTGGCTAATTTTTTAATTTTTATTTTTGTAGAGGTGGATCTTGCTATGTTGCCCAGGCTGGGAAGCAAGAGCTTTAAGAAAGGAGCAAATATATTTACTGGAAACCAGCATGACAGTGATAGGATAAATTAAAGTAAAAGACCCAAAGACAGGAAAATTAGGACCTTATAATCCATCTGCCCTTACCTACTCAAGAGATTTCCTTTCAGAATTAAAACCCTGGAGGTTCTGCATGTTATTTTACTAACAGAGGCAATTACCCCTGACCCTATGCTGTGAATACATAAAAGGAAGAAAAGAGTTTCCTGGGCTGGACTCTTACACATGCAGTAGAGACCATTATTTTAGATCAGAATTTCCCAATTCACCCACAGTTTGCATTCTCTTTCTTCACATAGATTTCCACAGGTTTCCACCCAAGTACAGGGCAGGATGAGATGTCAGTTTTTTAAGCCCTGATGGCTAATCCAGAGGAACTACTTTTCCTGCACATCTCTTCTCTAAAATGTAGAACAGAAGTAGGGACAGCAAGACTCTTGAAAACAGTCTTTAATACAAAAATATCAGGAGTAACAAAGACTACATCTCACAGCCCTATCAGCATCCCTAGCTCCTCCAGTCATGACAAAGAAAAACTAGGTCTCAGGTGGACTAAGTCTCCTAAAAAGAGTCAGGAAGAAACAGGAGCTACTGTTTAACAAGAGAGAAGAAAGGGCTTGCCCTGGAGAACACAGCACTAGATGCAAAGGTTCAGAATGAAGAGCCTACGTCAGAGATGAAAACAAGGTGAATCCTACTCCTTTTGGTTTCTACTCTGAAACACTTAGCTCACAGAGCTAGGAAGGAGCAGCTAGAGCAGAAGCCTATAAAATGTTAAACTCTCTAGAAACACTAGGTGGCATCGAAGATCGTTTCATCTCTTGCTCAAGCCTTAATTGGAACCAAGGCTAAGTACTCATTAGCCTTTTTTTAAAGACATGTCAGTTAAAAAAAATTTTTTTTCAAACTTGTTATTTATTTTTTAAAAAGTATCCATCACATAATTTAACTTAGAAGTTCTCTTCGGGCTCCTCTTCTTATATCCTCTTCCTTTCCCTCTCACTGGTAAATCTGAACTTTTATATTTATCATTACATCACTTTATTTGTATCTCGTATTTTTTGCATCCAAAACAATATATTATTATTGCTAGTCTAGTTTTTGAGGAAAATGGAATCATGATTAAGTGGTGGTTGCTTTTTTTTTGGCTCAACATTACGTTCCTAAGATTCATCCTGGATGTTTGCTTACTTCTGCTACTTTGTAGTGCTCCATTTGAGACCGTGTCAAAATTTACTTATCCATTCTACTACTGATGAATATTTGGGTTGTTTACAGTTAATGGTCCTGCTTTGAGACAAGGCAAGAGCTTTAAGAAAGGAGCATATCTTTCTTGTGCATATGTGCAAGAATTTCAGGTATAGGAATCTTTAACCTTACCAGATAAAGCCAAATTGTTTTTCAAAGTAGTTGTACTAATTTATACTCCCACCAGCAATGTACATGTTCCAGTTCTGTATCCTTATCAACATTTGCTACTGTCAGACTTTGTATTAAATGTAGTTCTGATTTACATTTCTCTGATTATTAATGAGGTTCATCATCTTTCCACTGCATACTGGTCAAAACAGTTTCCTCTTCCGTGAAGTACCTAGTTAAGTGTTTTCCCCGTTGTCCTACTGGATTATTATTATTTTCCAAATGGAGTCTTTTCTGTCACCAAGGCTGGAGTGCAGTGGTGTGATCTCGGCTCACTGCAGCCTCTGCCTCCTTGTGTTCAAGCAATTCTCCTTCCTCAGCCTCCCCAGTAGCTGTGATTACAGGTGCCGGCCACCACACCTGGCTAATTTTTTTTTGTATTTTTTGTAGAGACAGGGTTTCACCATGTTGGCCAGGCTGGTCTCGAACTCCTGACCTTGTG